TTGAACTGATGGGCCAAGGCTGAGGTCTCACTTCATTTCACATCGCTTTGATTATCAGCCATTTTGAACACGTGTTCATACATATTATTTGTTCTTTATTCTGTAATGAATTACTTCTTCATATCCTTAGCCCTTTTTAAAATGGAAATGTTTGCCTGATTCTTTTTTTTTCCTTTGGACCAATTCTTATTTATTGAAAAGAAAGAGATATTTATCTACTAATGCTATTATTAACCCATTTATCTGGCATACGGTTTTCCTGCATTGCCATATCCTTTCTAAGTGTATGTCATTTTTAAAAATATCAAATATTACATTTTTATATGGTATGAATTAACAGTAGTACCTTTAATGGGAGGAAGAACCAAAGCTGACCATGTGGTCCACGGTAACCTAGGCAACTGGCTGATCTGTGAGCTGACAGGGACACAGGAAACCCTCGGGGGGAGGGAGAAGGGCAGATGGGGGAGTGCCTGCCAGATGGGTTTGGTCCTGCTGGCGGGAGCCAGTGGGAGAAGGGTGGTCCAGATGCACAGGGAGAGTCCCCGCAGGTGGTGGGCCCATGCCCTGGGGACATGGCGTGGATTCCATGGAGTGGATTGGAGAAGGCACCTGGCAGGTCCTCAGCTTTGGGGGAGAGGTAGCACCACCGCGTGGATTCAGGTGCTGGGAGGTGCCTTCCAGAGGCATGAGATGGCCTTTTCTTCAGAGGGTCTGGATCTCAGTGGAGCAGGAAGAGGTGAGGGGATCCTAGGCTGAGCAGGGAGTGCTCATGGCCCTGGAGTCTTGGTGGGACTAGTGGCAGCTGTTGCTGCTACTTGCACGGTATTGGCACAGCCATGAGAAGTAAGGAGGATGAGGAGGAAGAATCTGGAAGGAATGCAAAGTACATTCACTGACTGTGCTCTTCCTTCTTTTTCATCTGACCCTCTGTCCAGGCCCAGTCCTTTCTGGTTCCTTAGTCTCTTCTTCTCACCAAATTCTGTCATCCTCTCCATCCTGAATACACTTTTTGCCCTTCAGGACATAGAGTGATACAAAACCCTGGGATGGGAACTCTGGAGTATGACCCCTCCCCAAGGGTTGTGGGGGAACCCTAGGAGGGACTTCTGGGTGTGCAGGTCTGGTCTCTGGTGGAGGGAATGACTGTGTGTGTGTGTGTGTGTGTGTGTGTGTGTGTGTGTCGGTATGTCCCTGTGCACACCTGATGGTTAGTTATGAAAGACATCTGAGGCCAGCCTCAGATCTCAGCAACCCAGCTACTATGGGTGGACATGACCCAAGGACATGGATTTGAAGGTCAAAGGAAATAGTGGTTTATAACAATCAAATGAGTGTGCAGAGATAGACAGGAAAAAAAGACTATTTGAACTGGTGTAAGTTATGGTAGATAGGATGCCCCATGTGTGGTCCCTGCCTACTCCTGTTCTGCAACCCCTCTCTCCCAGGAGACAAGTTTCCCCCCCTTTTACTGGCCCCCCAGCCAGCCCAGGCCCCACTCACCAGAGCACCAGAGGGTGCTGAGGCCCTGAATGTTGGGGCCTGCCCTGCCTGGTCTCAGGAAGCTGTAACCCCCCGTGACTTAGGCTGAGTGAGAGACCTCCGGACCAGGAGCCACTAAGGAGACAAAACTTATTCCCCTGGCATGAATGCTGCCTGTTCTGCGCCTGGCCTCCTAGGCTTGATCAGTTAGCCAATGACGGGTAAGATTTCCCATGAGGGAATCATCTAAGACAGGCATGATCACAAGGAGGACTCTGGGAAGAGACTCAGGGGCTGTGGAAATGAAGGGGTGATGGACATCAACCCCTGCCCCCTTGGCTTTGTCAAAGCCTGAGTCCTTGTCTTAGATGTGAGAAATCCAAGTCTCCTGGCTGCCTTTGTCTCCTCTGCCAGACTCAGGCCTGTGGAAATAACAGGGGCAGTGCAGTCCAGACCAGAGACAGGGGACCCCCAGGGTAATTAGACCTGGGACATAGAATATGCAAGATCCTGTGAGATCTTCTTGCTGGAGAATGATTAGATTAGAATTTGAAGGCACAGACAGGAAACCAAACTAGCCCTTTGAGCCTTGCAGTCCTTTCAAATCTTAAAACTACAAACTTTGCCCAGAATCACAGCAGGGGTTCTGTCAGCATCTTTGAAAGTCACCTATTTCTTTTGATCTTTTCTGCCAGACTGTGATCCACAAACTAAGTCTGTATTATTAATAAAAATCTGCTTGGGAATGGAAATGCGGTGCTCCCTACTAGAGAGAGAGGCTAGTCCATCCCTACTTCCCCACAGGACCTGGTTGTCTCTGTGTATGTTTTTCTCGTGTTTCAACGAGCCATCCACAGCATTCTGCAATCACTGCAGGCGGTGAGCATGCGTCACCTGAATCTATGTGGAAGGTCTCACTCCACTCACACTGGTGGGGGAGCCATGGATAGGAGAAAAGGGCAGATTCCAACTTGGAGAGCTTCCTGTCCCCTGGGAATTCAGGACCACCCCAACATAGCCGAGAACCACTCAGAGCCAACCACAAACTAGAGGGACACAGATAGTGGAATGCAGACAAAGAGAAAACTTGGGGGCCTTCAGGGAGGAGGCGTTCCTTCCCAGTGGTCAGCAGTGGCCAGACAAGAGGAATATCAGCTTGAGAAAGCAGTGGCTCCATGCCCTCACACCCAGTGACACATTTCTATGCCAGCCAGGGCCACCTTCCTCCCCTCCGAGAGTGCCCTCCTACCATTTGGTATGTGATTAGGTTCAGAGAGGGACACCCAGCCCGGCTGAAAACCAGGAAACCCCCAGGAGCTCGCCCCCGCTGGCATGTGCAGTTTGGTTTCCTGTGCTGTGTGTGACACAGACAGACACCAAGAAGTCAGGAGGTGTATCCTGATAACACCACCACCTCACCTCACGATGCAACTCTGAGCAGGTCACTGATGGCTCTGGGCCTCAGTTCCCTCACAAACCCATTTCAGGCATTAGGAGAGAGGTCACATGAACACACTGTGTGACCTTGTGTGTTCATGTGACCTCTCTCCCAGACACCCATGTGACACACTTGTGCACATGGGTGGCTGGCATTATTTCCAAGGTCTTCTTCCAGCTGTAAAACTCCATCCTACCTTTCCACCTGTGGTTCTGTTAGATAGAACAAGGGTCTAGAGGTCTGGGCCATTCTTCCTAAAGCTATTCTTTTTAAATGTTAAAGTGTAGCACAGTATTTTGCAGACTAGCTGTAAACAAGATAAGCTTGACAGGAACCCAGCCTGATAAGTGTGCAGCCAACTTCAGAGAAGAAATCAACATGTAATTGACCAAATAGTGTATATAAGCAATGGCTAAGCCTTCCTTCCAGGAGACAGAGCTTTGGATATAAATTCCATCTCCTTTACTTGTTGCAAGTAAATAAAACTGCCTTGCCACCACCATCTCATTTTTTTAATAGAGCACCCAATGTAGTGAACCCTTTGAGTCCGGTACTAGTCCCTCAGGCACTGACAGCTGATGTCCCTTCTGGAACTGTTCTCCTTTAGTCTGTCCCCTTGCCCTTAACCTCAGTCTCTGCTCACTCCTACTGTAAGGAGAAAGGCACTGCACAGAAGCAGCCTGAGGAGTAGGAGGTGTGGGGGTTAAGTGCAAAGTAGTGGAATTGAATCAAGTCCCCTTGATGGGTTCAAATTTCCACCTTAGCCTAATCCACACACAGAGTTCCCTGCTGTAGGTGTTACATTAGCCCAGCCCCGGGTTGCCTCCACTGGAATTATCCGTAGCCCCTAATTCTCTCACTAAATATACATAAATACATATGCATTAAATATAAAAATATATTTACTAAATGCATACTCAAAATAATATTTATTGAGTAATAGTTTTATTAAATATATAAAATCTATTATTGGATATATTTAAATATATAAAATCTTTTTCTTTGCAAATTGCATCTTTTAAAAAAGTAAATCTTAAAAGTACAAGCATTCACTAAAGAAAGAGATGTTGGAGTCTCTCATCTGTTGATGTGGTAATCACACACATATTCCTCTGGTGTCCTTGGGTGGCGGGAGTTTAGGATGCAAAGACGATGCCAGCTGCAGGCTTCTGTGCTCCCTCCCCTGCCCACCCATTGACCCAACCCTCCCTCCAGCCCCTCTGAGGACCCCTGTTCTCTTTGCTCCCAGCTCCCCTCTCTCCCTCCTTTGCCAGGAACCCTCCCTATACCTCCTGCTCCTCCAGCACCCACAAAACCTCCCCAGGTAGAAACAGGCCACCGACCCACCCTCAGGCCTGGGCATGTTTCTGACTACTCCTGGGGTCAGTGGGGCTAAGGGCTCTCGCTCAGACCTACAAGTGCCCCTGAGCTTGTCACCTGCCTTCATTGTGACTTTCCCTGGGGAGGGGGCAAAGCCAGACAGAGCTCTCTGTGAAACACAGAGAGAGAAAGAAGAAAAAGAGCAGGGGGTCCATTACTGGACCACGGTTTCCTCCTGGCTGTCTCAGCTCCTCCCCCAGGTCCTGGTCGGGGAGGGGCAACCGGACAGGAAGGAGAAGAGCAGCCTCTCACAGACCTGGAGCTGTGCACCACCTATCCTGGCCAGACCCACGCCTGCGACTGGGGGGCCCCCGCTTCCCTTTGTCCGAAGAATCGGCCTTCTGTGGTCTCCCACTCCCAGACCCGGGCCTTGGCCTTTTCTGTCTCATCTATCTCTGTCAGGTGCTGGAAGAGCTAGGCAGACTCAGGGCCAATAGGTTCCCTCTCCCCAGCCAACCCGCTTGCGCCTCCCAGCAGCACATGGAAAAGGGCCACGTGGCCCGGGGAGCCTCACTCCCAGGACTGCTGCTGCAGATGCCACTGCTGTCCCCAGGGGAAGAGAAAAGGAAGGGCACGGGGAGGGGGCAGATTTGAGACAGCAGGCCACAGAGCGAGCAGCTCTGAGGCCGGAGGGCAAGTCCTGGCATGGCCCTGACCTGCAGCGGTGGTCTCCGGACCTGAGTACTATCAAACACCACAGCTGCAGTTCGTAGGGGGCGGGCGCTCTCCGCGAGAGGCCAGCACCCACCCAGGGACGGGCTCTGCAAGAAGAAAGGCTGGTGTAGGGAGGTGTCAGGTGCATCAGGTTAGTCGCCAGCTCCAGGGCCCGCACACTGACTCAGGACTCTCAGTTCTCAATCTGGGACAACGTGGTGCGGGCTTCTTAATTGTCACCCTGACTGATCGGAGGGAGGAAGATGCAGGACACTACTGGTGTAGAACCCACCACCCTTCTAGCAACTCTACTTCTAATTCCATAAAGTTCTCTCTGGCGGTGTGTCACCGGTGTGCCCTTTTCCTGGGGTCCGAGCGCTCTCTTCGGTGCCTCCTGGCTTCCTAGTCACGGAAGCCAGGCTGCCCCTCCCCCATGCTGGTCTCCTGAGAAGACTGGTGGGAACCTGTGCCCAGGGGACTCACGTGTGAGCACACACACACACACACGACACACTGTCTCAGTGATTTACAAGCCTCCTCAAAGATGCTCAAAAAGATCAGTTGGTCATGTTGCTCAGTCTGAGCTTGTAGGACCTAGCCACAGAGAAGCCCAAGACGCCAACCTCTTTGGAGACGGCATGGGACTTGGCACATGGTAAGTGCTCCAGCGTGTGTGTCCTCTGGCCACAAACCACCCCCCACCACGTGTATCATGTTGGTCTGTCCCATCCTCCAGGCCCAGATCAGGGATCTACAAATCATAATCTGAACGCTAAAAATGGTTTTTAAATGGTTGGGGAGGAATTTTTTTTTTCATTTGTGACTCATGAAAATTATAGGAAATTCAAATTTCAGTCTATAAATTAAGTTTTATTGGAACACATCCACACCCACGTGTTTACATATTATCTATGGCTGTTTCATGCTAACAACAAAGTCTGTAGCTGTGACAGAGACCATATGGCCCACCTAAACCTGAAGTGGTCACTCTCTGTCCCTCTAGAAGAAAGCTTGCCTACCTCAGTCTAAATCAGAGCTTCTCAGAGTATCTGTGGCGGCAACCGGCTGCATAGTTGTGTCTTCCCCAAAGTCATATGTTGAAATTCTAAGCCCCAATGTGGTGGTGTTAGGAGGGGGCCTCTGGAAGGTGATTAGGTCATGAGGTGGAGCCCCCATAAGTAGAATTAGTTCCCTTGTAAAAGGGACCCAGAGGCCTCTCTGACCCCCTTCCCACCACGTGGGGTCACAATGGGAAGAGGGCTCTCACCCAGACCCTGCCACACTGCACCCGGATCTCAGACCTCCGGCCTCCGGAGCTGTGAGAAGTGAATTTCCGTTGTTTACCAGCCACCCAGTCCCCCAGTCCACGGTACTTTGTGAGAGCAGCCTGAGCAGACTGACACAGAGCCAACCCATCAACAACTATTTACAGGTAAAATACAATAAAATTAAATTTCTAGAAACAATGACCAAATAAAGCAGATGTACAAAGTACAAGCCCAAAACGCGTATTAGATTTGACAGACATAAAATTGCATTTCAACCAATATTATGCGATCAGAACAAACACAATGCAGGAGAAACTGGAACATTAAGAACAGCGAGTGTTGCTCATTGGCAGTGCGCCTGTGAGCGGTGGGCACAGTGGCAGCTGAGCCCCTCCTGGAACACCACGCTGCTCCTCGGTCACAACCAAACAAAACATCACAAGAGTGAAATTCTGAGCTCAAACGCCAATATTTGCACTTTGAACAAATACCCTGTGTGTCCACATTTGAAGATTTTAATGTGACAAATGAACATTCTTTTTGTTTATTAACTTACCCAATCTGAGTAACATTAATGACGCCATAATTCTTGGGGGAAAATGTATACAGAAATTGTTTTGATGCTTTGTTTTAATAACCCTCATAGTAGAAAACTGGTCTCACAAAGCTATGCTGACAGAAATATAGGAAGTTTAAAGGAATTTTAACAGGCTCCATATTTATATTTTTAACTTGTACAAAAGAAGGCAAGTGACACTGTATTTTCAAATACATCTTCAGTCCTGACTGGTGTAGCTCAGTGGATTGAGTGTGGGCTGTGAACCAAAGGGTTGCAGGTTTGATTCGTAGTCAGGGCACATGCCTGGGTTGAGGCCAGGTCCCCAGTAGGGGACTATGTGGGAGGAAGTCACACATTGATGTTTCTCTCCCTCTCTTTCTCCCTCTGTCCCCCTCTCTCTAAAAATAAATAAATAAAATCTTTTTAAAAATGCATCTTCAATCCTCTACCAATAGCTAGTTATTTTAAAGGTTATAGTCATATTTAAATTATCTTTATAAGAAAAAAGTGGATTCTAAATCTGTGGATTTCTTATGCATAATCTTCTTTTGACAGAAAAGGGAATTTAAAACATTTTATCAAATTAGTAAGGTTTTTTTCATGAGTACTTTTGCAAATATGAAATACGAAGATCATCACCTATTTTGGTAATGATTGTTGTTAAAGTAAGAATGTGTCATAACAATTTACAAAAGCTATTCTCGTAAGCCTCTAACATTTGCTTTTGCTCTTCAATTTTATTTGCCATTGAAAAACATGTTGCATTCTTTCCTTGCATAGAAATGCTAACATCAAAGCTATAATATAAACAAGTCTAACTGCAATTCACATCTTTACTAAACTGGTCTCTCTCTATCTTGCCAAAACATTAGGAGTTCCTCCCATAGATCAAACACTCTCAACAGAGCTTTCCCCTCAGTAATCATTGCAAACTGGCATGTAGAAACAAGTCTTCATGGTGCTCCCATAGTACACATAATAAAGAGAATGATTTCAAATTTATGACGTTCATATCTATGTAATTTCATAATTTTCCACATCAATTAGCACCCTGTTAATTTCAGCTGATATTTTTTCACAGCAAGACTTTCTCTTTTTTAATTAATTAATTTAGAGAGAGAAAGAGAGGAAGGTGGTATGGAAAGGGAGAAGCATCTGTTTGTTGTTCCACTTACTTATGCATGCATTGGTTGATTCTTGTGTGTGCCCTGATGGGGGATCAAACCCTCAGCCTTGGCATATCAGGAGGACGCTCTAACCAACTGAGCTACTGTCATAAGCAACTGTCATAGCAGCTGCAGCCATCAGAACATGCTCCTACATAAAACTTAAACCCCAAACCACTTGTTGGTAATATGACCCGTCGTAGTTGTTTACAATCCAGAGTTAGTCGTGTTTTTGGCAATGAAGTTAAAAGATACAGAGGAAGTCCTACCTATCACCATGTTCAAACTGCACGTATAGTAAAAGAACAGCTATGTTAGCAATACACGTGTGTTTCTCCAGTCACCATGAAAAAGTCTCTGCTGGCTTTATTTGTTCTGAGACTTAGTCTTCCACACTCTGAGCCAATTCCCAAATCCATTGAGCTAAAGAGTAGATGGGAAATGATGTTTCAGCTTTCTTCTTTGCCACATATTAACCCGATGTTGTTGAGCAAACTTCTCTGTTGTAGCCTGTCAATAATATTTTAGCAACTGTAGATAGATTTTTAGCCTCACAACACAAAGTAGCACCTCACAAAAAGCCCACAGGACACTAGAGTTTATATGTGAAATGCTGACTGCTCTCAGGCTTTTTAATTCAGTACTCTTTTTTCCTCAAAAAATTAGTCTTGAACTTGTGTTTTTATGTTTTATATGTAAATGCCACTTGTTTTTATGATGTATTTGCTTCATTAGCCATCATATCTCAACAAATAGCACTGAGTTTTAGTCTTCACCGTTATTTGTAAACTCTTGCTATACAGCTGTCATGGCTTACAACAATACAAGTGTATGATCTCACTGTTCTGTAGACCAGAAGTTCAGAATGGGTCTCACTGAACTAAAATCAAGGTGTCAGCAGGCTGTGTTCCTTTCTGGAGGCTTTAAGAGAGAATTCATTTCTCGCTCATTTAGGTCTCGGGCAGAATTCAGTTCCTTGTAGCTACGGGACCGACATCCTGTCCTCCTGCCGACCTTCCCCAGCCCCTGGACTCACCCGTATTCCTTGGCTCTGGCCCCCTTTCTTGTCTCAGAGCCAGAGGTCCCTTTCCTTTGCTCTCTGCTGACCAGAACTGGGACACACGCTCTCTGCTTTCCCACACTAATGATTAGATTGGCCGCACACGCATGATCTCTCCAATTCGAGGCCTTTAACCTTCATCACATCTGAAATGTTCCTTTTGCCATGCAAGGTGACAAGTGCACAGGTCTCTGGGGTTAGGATGTGGACACTTGGGGTCAGGATCATTTTTCTACCTATCACAATGATGGAATACATTTTTGTGTAAAATCAGTGAAAATCTTTGAAATAAATTCAGAAGGAAAAATTTCTTTGGAATCAATTCTGTTATCATCATTTGGCTTATTATTACTGCTACATTCAGAAAAGATGCATCTTTTCTAAACAAAATGTTCAGTGACTTCTTTTGCTATCCTTTGCTTCCTGTGAATTGATACTTGAATTAACTAATTAACTACTCTAAATTAGCTAAACATGTTACACTCTATAAAAAAGAACAAGTTGGATTTAAAATGTAATGATTGTAAAAATAATAAATTATAAAAATAATTTTTAGGTGTTTCTACACTTTTGGGTTATAGTTAACTAACCTTAAAGTAGTATCACATGCTGAAAGGTAGTCCTACTGTGTGTTGCCACTACAAAGCTTGTTCTGTACGCAGCTCTCTGTGACATTTAACAACACCGAACTGGTCTACACCCTGTTCACCTGGAGAGAATGAGCTTACCAATCACATACTTGGACCTTGAGGCGATGTCAGATTTAGAGTTTACCTATTGCAGGCAGGTTACAGTTTGTGGACCAGCACCAACCCATAGATCATAAGTTCAGTAGCTCAGGACTAGAATTCTGCCCATGTGTTCCAAGGCTGGGCACATGGGTTGGTCCTGGTCCTCGTTCTGGGAAGCCTCACAGGGGGTGCCACTGTGGGACAGGATCAACTGGCTGTATGTCCATCGGCCCGAGGCTCTCTCCAGAAGGGACAGTCCTTGTCTCTCTGGTACCCTCTCCTCCAGGCATCTCCCAGCCCTTGCTCTTCTCTTCCCTCCCACCTTAGGAGCCATGGCTCCCCTCAAGGGCCCTGGCTAGGGGTGCAGACCTGGCTGAGGACACTGAGAACCCCTACTTTCTGTCACAGCCTTGGGGCTAACACCACTTCTTTCCCTCCTGGGCCTCTCACTTGCCCACAGCAGCCATCGTCTTCTCGTTACCCTCAGAGGCCCTCATCACTTTTCCAGGGACAACCTCTCCAGCCTCCACAAAGGGCTCTGAGCACAGGTCGGTCTGGGGTCTTACTTGGAAGGCAGAGCAGTAGGAGTGCAGGTCAGGCAGCTCACAAAGTCTGAGGGTCAAGAGGGGCCCATAGAGCCTTCGAACCAAAGGGTCACCAGTTCAATTCCCAGTCAGGGCACACAAATGGGTTGCCAGCCAGGTCCCCGGTTGGGAGTACGCGAGAGGCAACCATACACTGATGTTTCTCTCCTTCTCTCTCCCTTTCCCCTCTCTAAAAATAAATAAATAAAATCTTTTTTTTTCCTTAAAAAAAGAGGGGTCCATAGAGGTATTTACCCAGGCCATTGAGGCACTGGGTAAATACCTACAGGCTGGCCCAGGGCTCTGCCTCAGAACCAGAGGGACAGGGATATGGAGTAGCCCCTAAAATTCCCCACGAGGGGTCCCATTCCCTTAGTAGCCCAGAAGTGTGAGAAAGCGCATGGATGTCAGAGATGAGAGTGGCTTCAAGACTGCGACTGTGTCCACACTTGAGGAGGCTCAGAGGTTTCCAGGGCTGTGCAAAGAGATAGAAATGCTTAGAGGGAGGCCCAGGCCTCCAGACTCCTATTCGAGTGCTCCTGGACCCAGCAACCCCTCCACAGGCACCAGACAGAGCCTGGGCCGCAGGCCTGTGTAGTCCTGGGCCATGAGACTTCACAAGCCAGTCCGCACACCCCCAAATTGGTTTCCCCCCAAGCTGATGGGCTTCTGTTCCCAGTTCATCCCAGTTCCCTGTCCCGGCTTCTCTGATAGCAGGAACAGGCAGGCCGTCCTGCCCACTAACCAAGGTCCCTTCTCCTTCCCTGGCAGCCTCTGCCTTCACACAGTGCTGGTCCCTGGCTTCCCGGGACTTCACCTCATCCCAGACCCAGAGCTGTGTGTCCCCCCACTGGAAGAGCCAGAGAGGCCCCCAGGGCTCCCTCTGCCATCACCACCCCTTCACAGTGAGCTCAGGGTAGGGTAGGACCCTCATCCACACAGGCCTGGCTCAGGGGCCCAAGGGCAGAGGCTGCCACCCCAGCCTGGTCCACCCCTGTTTGTGTCCCTCTGTCCTCCAGGAAACAAAACTCTACCCTCTCCTCCAGCCCTGCAGCCTCCGGTGCCCTGGTCACCATGCCTTGTGGACATCTCCCGGCCTGGAGCCTGGTGCTGTCAGCCCTGCCTGTCCAGTGAGTGGGGTCTGGGTGAATTTGGAGACAATGAAGCAGAAACAGGGAGAGAGCGTCAGAGCAAGGGATCAGCCAGAGAACACAGAGGCGGGAAAACTGTAATTGACAGGGCTGTCCAAATGAAACCGCACTGAATCCAGCCTCCTTGCACATTCATGACAGGCTCGCCTTTGTCACTGAAGTGTACAGGAAGTCCCTCCCACCACCTGCCCTTCCAGGGATGCCTACCCAAAGCCACCAGTCCAGGACACTGCCTCATCCTAAGTCCTGAAAGAGCATTCCCCAAGAGTTAAGAGAGTCACAAGCTCTGAGGAGAAGGCAGGAAAAAAATGGAAGGGGCTGGGTAAAAGGTGCAGGGACCCGAAAAGAATGAAGAGGACCTGGAAACAGGATCAGGTCAGGAGAGAACAGGCCTGCCGGAGGAGGCACAGGCCTAGGGAGAGTGGAACAGGGTCCAAGTGGACTTCAGTCACTTCTCCCCACCTCCCCTCTCAGGGCCTTAAGGAGTTGGCCTGTGTGCCCAGCTCAGCGCAGACCCAGGGCCCTCGGTGCTTCCTGCTGAGCCTCAGGGCCCAAGAAGGATGGCCCGCGTCTCCCCCACCCCCACAGGAGCATCTCCCTGACCTCTGAATTCTGCATCCCCTGTAAAGAAAAGCCTGAAGCTTCCCAGAACTTGATCCAGCACCCTTGGCTGCCCCTGGCTGTGGTGTTGAGGATTTCGCAGCCCTAGCCTCCTCCCAAGGTCCAGGCCCACTACTCACTCACATGCAGTTTGCATTGGGGCCAGCGCCATCCAGTGGATGAATGTGTTGACCCAAAATTCATGTGTTGAAATCCTACCCACCATGCTGATGCTGTTAGGAGGCGGGGCCTCTGGGAGGTGAATGGGATTGGAGACCGCGCCCCCAACCCCACCCCCAGCAACCTAGCCCCTTCGCCACGTGAGGACACAGCACGTAGACAGCCCGGCGTGGACCAGGAAGAGGGCCCCGCACCAGACACGGCATCCACCAGTGCTTTGGTCTTGGGCTTGCAAGCCTCCAGAACTGTGGGAAATAAATGCCTGTTGTTTAAGCCATCCAGTCTCTGTGGTATTTTTGTTATAGCAGCCCAAATGGACTAAGAAAAACATAGTATTCTTTTTCTCTTTAACAGCTCAGTTTCTCCAAAAAAGGACTCTTTTAACTGTTCTCCTGGGGGTATAAGGTAGGATGTCAGGGTTCTTGGCACCACCTGTAGCGAAGCAAAGGGGCCCCACTGCCCAGCGCCTGCTCTCGCCCACCCCTCCTCCCACCTGTAACACAGTCTGCCCCAGTGGTGCCTGGTGCCCTGAGCAGAGCATCCGTCATCCAAGACCAAGTTCACGGTTCCTGCAGGGTGGTGAATGAGAGAAAGGATAGGGGCAGCAGACTCACCCTTCGCCTCACAGGAGGCAGAGAGCCTGGGAGTCAGACCACTTCTTAAGAATACTTTCATTCCAGTCTCAGGTTTCCAGCCCCAACTTCTGTTCTGCCTTCTGAGATGCCCAGGCCTCCCATTTCTAGGTTTCCTGGGGTTTTAGGTCAAAAGTGAATGCATCTTATTACTCCCACTCCCACCTTTCTCTGGCCCTTGATGTCATCTGGTTGTTACCCAGCTTCAAGGCTCTTATGGGGCTCACGCTTTACCCTTGTGGATGGAGTCATACAATTTTTATCCATTTACTGCCACTTCCCCCACACGGTTTCCACACCTCCTCAGTGGGAGTAGAGAGGAACCCCAGATTCCCCATAACAACCCCTCCCAGCACCTCCCACCACGGGTGGGAGTGAGCAAGACCCCACACCTCCCCTGCTGCTGTAAGGACTCCTGGCTCTCCCTCTATCACCCCTGCCAATGCTGGGACCCCCAGACCAGGCCCTTCACTCCTTCTCCCTGTTCACTGCAATCACTACAAGGTGCCAGGGTTCCCTGGGCCTCTCTTGTCACCCAGAATCCCGTCTCACTGAGACCTGATACATTCATTAAATGAGCCCCATTTTCCAACTCATCCCCAAATCTCCCCCACTCTGCCCTCTGAAACAGTCGTCAGTGCAAACTCTGGACTGTGTTCTCAACTCTGCCTGTCACCTTCTCGCTCTCACTGAAGTCGGCCCCTCCTCTGAGACCACTGCTTTCTCTGTGCTTCTGGCCTTTTCCTCTCCTTCACCTCCTGCCACTGGGCCTGAGGGTGGGGTTGTGTCCTCTTCGCTCTTCATTGCCACTTCCTATGTTCCTGTCCTCCCTGAAGCAGCCCCACAGCTCGATTTCCCACATGAGACTGTCCCATAGACCACCCATCGTTGCTGCAATTCCTCCACAATCTGCATTTCTCCTTTTTCTTCTTTGGTCTTAACCCCTGGCTCACTGTCATTGTCACTCACACTGCTCCTGCCATGACACTTGGTGAGCTTGGGCCCATGTAGACTCCTAGGTGATCCTTCCGAATTTGTGGCCTCTCAGTCTCTGGACCTCCCCTGCCCCAGTGATCTTGTCATCGCTGCCTCAGCCACCCATTCAGATGCTCGGCATGAACAGCGCTTCCTGCCCTTAGTCTCAACTCAGATACCCAGCTTCCAGCCACCACCTGTCTCTAGCGCCATCCTATTAACTAGATCATTGTACCCCTTCACCCCCACTGGCGTCCATGATCCTCCAGTCCTGCCGCCTTTACCATCTCCCTCACCTCACTCAAGTTGTCCTTCCCCTTAGATTCCATGATCCAACCTTATAATCACTCTTGAGCTCACAGTCTCTATTTCTTTCCCCCTCTCCCCTTTTACTGAACACCCCTGGCAAAACTCCAGCCCTTGTTGAATCCAGCTTTCCACTCATTCTGTCCAGCACCCAGAGAAGCTGAATGAGGCAGGAAAAAAAATCAATCAGTCATGCTGAAATGTCTCACTGGAGACACATCATCTCCATTCTGAACCTGTTTCACACTGTCTTCCGGCCCCCCCCAACTCCCATGCCCCTTCCCACTCCTCGTGCTCAGCTGCTGCCCTTGCATCCTGACTCATGGACACAAATCAAACCCTGAGGAAAGACTGTCCCTCGGGTGCAACCACGGCTGTCAGTCATGCCCCCTCTGTTCCCCTACACGTACTCTTTCTTCCTGTCACTCCCTGCATTCCCTGCTCAGGCCACCCTCTCCCGATCAGCCCCAAATATCCCATCTTCTCTTGTCTACACGAGAAAATTGCTCCAGAAGTTCTCCCCTCTCTCCTGCATCATCTTTTCCTCCCTCTCTTACATGCCATGGCAATTAGAATGTATGTGGGCTGTGATATATTAAAAACCTTCTCAACCCCACAGCATCTCTGGCTACTTCTCCACTTACAGTAAAACCCCACGAAAGGACTGGATTCACTCACAGCATCCAGTGTTTCTCTTTCTGTTCTCTCAAAGCCACTCCAGTCTGGCCTCTGTGCCCTCCCTGAAACATCTAGTCACAGCCTCCAGTGACTTCCACATTGCTAACTCCAGTGGTCAATACTCAGATGCCATCATATTGGGCAGATGAACAGTAATGAATATGACTTAGCACTCCTTTGTTCTTGAAATGCTTTCTTCCCTCGGGTTCTAGAAAAACAAACAAACCTGTAGTTGTCTCCTCATTTGATGCTGTATAATAAGTTACTCCAAATGTTAGTAGCTTAAAACAACAAATGACACGTGTGTTGTATTGTTATGGGGTCTGGGCCCAGAGCGGGTCTTCCTTAGGGCAGCTGGTAGTGTGTGTGTTCTTGACTCGATGCAGGAAATATTTCACAACACAAGTCCAGGTGGTTTTGAGAGTGCATTTATGAAAGTGGGGGACAGTGTAATGAAGGAAGGGTTTAAGGTAGAAGAAGCAACAGGAGGGACCTAGGCAGGGCTGCTTTGGCACTGCAGAAATTACAGGAAAGACGCGAGCCTAGGTGGAGTTGCTGTAGCTCACCAGGGAGTCAGAGAAAAAGGGGGCCTTGGAGACAGGCACAGGGGGTAGCCTGAGACAAGCTGCCACTGCCCGCTGCTCCACTGGTTACAAGTCTTGTGGGGACCCGATGACATTAGGAGAGAGAGAGCAGTGATATAGGGTGTGGGCGTACTCTAGTGAGAACATCCTGAGTCCTTTGTCTTCAGGCTTTTTTATCTTTCTTTGGTCAGTGGGAGTCCTAGGGGAGGTCTCGGGGAGGATCTTAACAGAATATTAATTAGCTTTCCAGGCGTGTCCTTCAATAAGCTGACTTATCCACATGTGTGTACAGAGGAGTCAGGGTTATTTTCTGATTAGCTTTATTTTTACAGGAGGTTATTGAAGAAGGACTGGGACCGGGGCCAGTCTGCCCTGGGACTGTCTGGAATGTGTAAACCATTTGCTCCTAAGTGTCCTTGGTTAGGAAAGATAAAACCTTGTGATGTATTTGCTGGCTGTAAATTCCTCGAATGGTTTGGCCTAGTTGACTTATATTGTCTCAGTTTTCCCTGTTCCACTTGCCCAGGAATTTCCGTAACTTCTTACTATCCTGCCTCAGTATTACCTCACAGATTGCTCTGGAAGAGGATCAGGAATTTGGGAACGTCTTAACTGGGTGTTCCTGGTTCAGAATCTCTGGTGCAGCAGTCAGGATGTTAGCGAGAACAGTCATCCAAAGGCTGGACTGCAGGACCTCCTTCAAGATGGCTCACTCGCCTGCTTGTTGGAACAAGGCATCAGTCCCTTGCCACATGGGCCTGTCTCCATAACCTAGGAGCCAGCTTCCCCAGAGGGAACAATCCAAGAGAGAGGGAGGACGAAGCCACGGTGCCTTTTATAACCTAGTCTCTGAGGTCGCATTGCTGCTGCCATGTTCATCAGAATCTAGTCACTGGGGCCAGCCCAGATTCAAAGGGAGAAGATTACACTCAGTCTCTTCAAGATAGATATATTAAAGAAAGAGGTGAATAGATTTTAAAACCACCACAGTACCTACTCTGGTCCCAAATTATTTATATTTCTCCCACAGGCAAAATACTCTCATCCCCTCCAAAAGCTTCCAAAAGTCTCATCCCATTGTGGCATCAGCATGAGGTCCAGGAAATTGTCATTTAAATTGGGTCCAGGTGTAGATGAGGCTCCTTAGGTGTAGCTCCTTCCATACAATTCTCAATATGAAGACCACAGTCAGGAGGCTGTGGCCACCAACCTGGCGTGTACTGGGATGGGGAAGGGGTTGCCTAAAGACACCACTTATCTGCCACACACAAAAACAATGTATAATGTTGGTACAACATGGTACACAGTAGACTTTCCTGTTCAAAAGAGAAGGAAATGGGAGGCCAAAGGAGCACTGACCCATAGGAAATCTCAAATTCAGTGCTGGCTGGTGTGGCTCAGTGGATTGAGCACCCGCCTGCAAACCAAAAGGTCACCACTTTGATTCCCAGTCAGGGCACACGTCTAGGTTAGGAGCCAGGTCCCCAGTAGGGGGCACTCGAGAGGCAACCACACATTGATACTTCCCTCTCTTTCTCCCTCCCTTCCCTCCTCTAAAAGTGAATAAAATCTTTTTAAAAAAAGAAAATCTGAAATTCAGCTGGGCAGATGTTGGAAGTTCCTTAATTGGGACTGCCCCACTGCTACATGGGAATAATCCACCATGCCTTTTGGCTCCTCCCTCCGGGCTACTGATCCTTCCCTGCACCACCCCTCACCTTCCATGAAAGGCAGCCCATGTTTACAACTTCATAGTTTTTTCAGCCTTCCTCCTGCCAGTAGGCTTCGTAGGCTACAAAGGTCTTTTTTGGTTTTTTAATCTTCACCTGAGGGTATGTTTATTGATTTGTGAAAGAAAAGGGGCCACATATGAACCTGACAGGCTCAGTGGAGACCTGCGAGACAGCCTTACAAACTCAGAGACCTAAAGTAACCACAAAGGATGGTCTAAAATGAAAACTTATTAACTAACTGGCCAAGATGGAGGCATAGGTAGACACACTTTGCCTCCTCGCACAACCAAAAGAAGGACAACAACCAATTTAAAAACAAAAAACAACCAAAACTGCCAGAAAATTGAACTGTATGGAAGTCCAACAACCAAGGAGTTAAAGAAGAAACATTCATTCAGACCAGTAGGAGGGATGGAGACGGGCACAGCCGGGACAGAGGACCTATGGCAAGGAGGCAGCTGGAGGACTGCGTGGGCGAGGCAGCAGCAGGTGGAATGAGCAGTCCCACATTCAAATGCAGATAAACCAAGAGCAACACGGGGGAGTGAGACAGACCGCGCAACCCAAGGTTCCAGCATGGGGAAATAAAGCCTCAAAACCTCTGAGTGTAAAAACCTGTGGGAATTGGGGCAGCAAGAGAAACTCTCAGCCTCATCGGAGAGTTCATTGGAGAGAATGTACACAAACCCACATACCCGGGAATCAGCACCAGAAGGGCCACATTTGCTTGTGGGTAGCAGGGGAAGTGACTGGAAGCCCCTTGAGAGCCAACCAAGCAGCATTGTTCCCTTTCTGACTCCTCCCCCACATACAGCACAACACAAGGACATGGGTAGCCTTGCCCTGGCAAGTACCTAAGGCTCTGCCCCTTACAGCATAACAGGCTGGCCAAAAAAAAAATACAGCTCAAATGAAAGAACAGATCGAAGTTCCAAAAATAGAACTAAGCAATAAAGAAATAGCCAACCTATCAGATACACAGTTCACAACACTGGTAATCAGGATGCTCACAGAAATGGTTGAATACAGATGCAAAATAAAGGAAGAAGTGAAGGCTATACAAAGTGAAATTAGGAAAATATACAGGGAACCGACAGTGATGGGAAGGAAACCAGGACCCAAATCAATGATTTGGAGCAGAAGGAAGAAATAAACATTTAACCAGAACAGAATGAAGAAACAAGAATCAAAAAAAAAAAAAAAAGAGGAGAGGCTTAGGAACCTCCAGGACAACTTTAGTTCATTCCAACATCCAAATCATAGTGATGCCAGAAGGAGAAGAGGAAGAGCAAGAAATTGAAAACTTATTTTTAAAAAAGAAAAGAAGGAGAATTTCCCCAATCTGGCAAAGGAAATAGACTTCAGGAAGTCCAGGAAGCTCAGACAGTCCCAAAGAAGTTGGACCCAAGGAGGAACACACCAAGGCACATCATCATTATATTACCCAAGATTAAAGATAAGGAGAGAATCTTAAAAGCAGCAAGAGAAAAGGGGACAGTTACCTACAAGGGAGTTCCCATAAGACTGTCAGCTGATTTCTCCAAAGAAAACTTGCAGGCAAGAAGGGGCTAGAAAGAAGTATTCAAAGTCCTGAGCCCTGGCAGGTGTGGCTCAGTGGACTGAGCGCTGGCCTACAAACCAAAGGGTCACCAGTTTGATTCCCAGTTTAGAGTATATGCCTGGATTGAAGGCTAGGTCCCCAGTAGGAGGCACAAGAGAGGCATCCACACATTGATGTTTCTCTTCCTCTCTCTTTCTCTTCCCCTTTCTAAAAATGAATAAATAAAATCTTTAAAAAAAAGAAGTATTCAAAGTCATGAAAGGTAAGGACCTACATCCAAGATTACTCTATCCAGCAAAGCTTTCATTTAGAAGGGAAAGGCAGATAAATTGCTTCCCAGGTAAGTCAAGTTAAAGGAGTTCATCATCACCAAGCCCTTATTATATGAAATGTTAAAGGGACTTATCTAAGAAAAAGAAGATGATGAAAAATATGAACAGTAAAATGACAACAAACTCACAACTATCAACAACTGAACCTAAAAACAAAAACAAGAACAACTAAGCAAACAACTAGAACAGGAACAGAATCACAGAAATGGAGATCACATGGAGGGTTATCAGCTGGGAAGGGAAGGGTGGAGAATGGGGGAAAAGGTACAGGGAATAAGAAGCATCAGTGGTAGGTACAAAATAGACAGGGGGAGTTAAGAATAGTATAGGAAATGGAGAAACCAAAGAACTTACTTATATGTGTGACCCATGGACATGAACTAAGGGGGGAGGGATACTAGTAGGAGGTGGAGTGCAGGGCAGAGTGGAATAAAGGGGGGAAAAATGGGACAATTGTAATAGCATAATCAATAAAATATATAGTTTTATAAAAACGTATTAACTAAAAGCCTTCCTGGTGGATAGTCATCTCCTAGGGTGATATTTTTCCCTAACAAAGGTCAACCTTTACCTTAACTGAGTCTGTCTGTTGTCTTTTGACATCTATGATAACAGATCTTTGGAAGGTCAGGGTAACTTCCCTTTTTCCCAAACCCCTTGGGCACAGTCAGAGACCACAAATCCCTTCATTGTCATTGTCATCAAGTAAATTGTTGAATGTTAACTATCACTTACCCACCTAAAAGAAGTATGTGTCTATCATTTTACCTTTTATCCAGTCCCAGAGGTTCCCTGACCTCCCCATCCTCCCGCTTCGTTCTCTCCTGCCTCCCTAATGTATCACCAGGGGATTTCATGCAACCCCCTTATGTCTCCTGCTTTGATTCTAACGTGTAAAAGAAGGCGCTAAACTGCTATTCTCCAGAGCATTTCTCAATCCATATAGGTACTACGTCCCGGCAATTGGCTCAAATAAGCTCACCAAAAATTCTCTACAGGTTTGAATGTTTCTTATCTTGACAGATTTTAGAAAGAGAAGGAGGGTGGGAGAGAAAGAGAAATCGATTGGTTGCCTCCTGTACTTCCATGACCGGGAATCGAACCCACAACATTTGGGAATACAGGACGAATCTCCAACCAACCAAGGCACCCTGCCAGGACAGGGGTTTTTTTGTTTGTGTTTGTTTGGTTGGTTTTTGTTTGTTTGTTTTAATACTCTCTGTGGAAGTGTTTTGTGAGTGTCATTCTCTTTATGTGAATGTCACTCAATTAAACAAAAGCCACACCTACAAATCTCTTCAAGGTAAGGTCTCTTCTACACCTTGGGCTTCTCCTGAGATACCAAGGGATAATGTCTTTAAGCCACTTAGAAGCTTAAAGACATTATCCCTGGTGTTTGATTGAAAGAATCTGTGAGTGACACGCCCTTAAACTCATTAGAGGCCTTTTGTCTGAGGCACTGTGTTTGATATTCCTGAGATCTTAACAAAGGGTTTTATAGTCACACCCTTGGTTTCATCTTTAGACCATATTTTTTCCGAAAGTGTCTTGAACTTGATTTTAGCATCATTTACTGTCTGGAGAAGCTACAAATCTTCCAGCTCCTTCATGTTTCATAGCCCTGCCTGCAAGTTCTCTCTCTCGTTTCGCGTGTTCAATAGCCACGAGAAGAAACTCCAAGGCAGCACCCTCAGCACTTTGCCTGGAGAGCTCAGCTGCCCCACCCCGGTCCCTAGGTTCATTCCCTACTTTCCACGTTTACTGCAGGTGGCAGTGTTGCTCAACTCTGTGCCACTAAACAAGGATCTCCTTTCCTTCTCACCCACTGGCCAAATGAACCTGGAGAACATATATAAGGTCTGTACACTATCCTTATTGGTAAAAACAGGACTGGTAATATCTACATTAGCAAGCCACTTGGATTACTAAGTAGGATGATATGTTCATAAAACATCACACACATGGAGGACACTGAACAGATGCTGAGCTTTAGAGGGACTGAGGTACAGTAGAAAGAGGACCCACCTGTGACACAGCAGAGACAACTCAGAGCTAATCTTGACTGGAGGGACGGAGGGCGAACTTGGAAACCTGTGAGAAGTAAGCTCCTCTCTTCAGTGGACAGCAGAAGGGAACATGGGAAAGAATCAGTGCGAGGAAGCTAACTGACCGACCTGGGCCCAAAACACATGTGTGCTCACTGCCACCGCTCTCTGGCCAGCAGCGGCCTTGTCAGGAGGCTGCGCTGCCCAGCCCCCACCGCCACTGCGTGTGAAAGGGGATGGGGAGGGGGTTGCCTCTGCACCCGTGTGCAGCTCCACGGCTGTCCCTGACCAGCCCCCTGGGTTCCTGTTCCGACTGCAGGTGGCACAGGCAATGGGAAGCCCTGATGGAACTCAAGGGCCTGGACACGAGTGAAGCCACCTGCCACTTTCAGCAGGTCACTGACCTTCTCTGCACCTCCTTCCTCACCTTTATTTCCCTGCAGGTAATATTTATTACCTGCAGGGAAATAAATATTATCACCACACTGCCGTGGGTGTGAAAGTAAACAGTGCAAATGAACAAGCCTTGTAGATTATAAAATTATGTGAATATATATCATTTCCTAAGTTTCTTCAAGCTCTAAACCTTTGTCCTGTGTTCCCACACTTGGCGTCAGGAGACCAGCTTCTCTGCTTTGCCCTCTGTTTTCCCGTCATTGTGTTTCTTATCCTCATTCTCTCACCGGCCCCAGGAAGCCCTGCTGCAGGCAGGGAAGAGCACCGTACATAAGCCCTGGGAGTGGAGGGGCCCAAGAGAGGGCAAGGCTTGCAAACCAAGACCCAGATGAGTTTTCTTAACTCAACCCTGTGTGCGACTGGGCAGGTCATTACCCCTCTCTGCGCCTTCGTTACTTTCTCCCGAAAATTAATGAGATGAAGATGAGCCCTGAAATCCCTCCAACAAAAGCCTAAGGCAATGAATGTGAAATGAATGCCTTCCTGTACCCAGCTCAGGCTCGCCAGGGACAGGGCCCCATGGGACACAAACAAACAGAAGGAGCAGGAAGCCCTTGAACATGGCTTTGAGTTCCTAGGTGGAGGGGCCTCTGGAAGATTCCAGCACAGGCTAAGGAAAGGGAGCAATTGAGCAGGAGCGAGTTGGAGAGGACCTGGCTGAGGAGCGATGCAAGGCATCCCAGGGGCACCTGCTGGGATTCCAGCCCCACCTGTGTCCCCTGGGCAGACCCCAGGGAGTTCCACCTATGGGTCATCGGATAATAGCAAATGCAGCCAACATCAAAGCCACAGTCCTGGCCACGTGCTCACTTCTCCTGACCTTGGCCTTGGTCGGCAGGCCTCTCTGCATTGGCCGCTCCAAGAATTGCACATACCACACCAGGTCTCTTGTGGCTTTTTTTCTTTTTTCTTTGTAAATTATGTATAAACATCAATGTTTTTCTGACTCCACAAATCCTGAAATTCATTAAGGGAAAATATGAAATTAAGATTTTTTCATGGATTTATTTTTTTAACCCTCACCTGAGGATATGTGTACTGATTTTAGAGAGGCGTAGAGAGAGAGAGAAACATCTATGTGCAGTTGTCCCTTGTATGTGCCCCAAGTAAGGACCTAACCTGAAACCTAGGTATGTGCCCTGACCAGAAACAGAACCCGCAACATTTTAGTGTACGGGACGATGCTCCAACCAACTGAGCCACCAGGTCAGGATTCACCAATATTTTTTAAAGCTTTTATTTATTTATTTTTAGACAGAAGGGAAGGGAGAGAAAAAAGGAGGGAGATAAATACCAGTGTGTGGTTGCTTCTCCCATGCCCCGCACCGGGGAACCTGGCCATCAACCCAGGCATGTGCCCTGACTGGGAATTGAACCTGCGATCCTTTGGTTCTCAGGCCAGGGTTCAATCCACTGAGCCACACCAGCCAGGGCATCAACATATTTTTAAGTGACATTTTCCAAGCCTCAGTAGGTGGGACAGCAGTGGGGGCTAAGGTAGAGGGGTGCCCCAGCGCTGAAACTGGCCCTCCCCTCCTCCCCGCCCTCCTCCAGAGCCAGCCTCCCTGCTCCCACTGGCCCCTCTGAGGCTCCTCAGTAAGTCCTGATCCCAGCTCTCCTCTCCCCACCTTTGCCCTCTGCCCAATACCCTCCCTACATCTCTGATCCTCCTCTCCTTTTCCCTCCAGCACCCACACAAGCTCCCAGGGTAGGTCAATCTCTCACCTACCAGTTAGAGCTGGGTGTAAGGCTTATGGGGTCCAGTGGGGTACAAGATCATGGTCAGGATCAGAAGGACCCTCTGATTTTGTCAACTACCTCCAGCCCGTCCTTCTGGGGGAGAAGGGTAGCACGGGGACCCAGGCAGTGAGAGACCGGTGTGCAGAGAGAGAGGAACAGGAGCAAGCAGCCTTGAGTTGACCAAAGTTTCCTCCCTGCACTTCTCAGCTTCTCCCCTGCCTGCCCACCCACCTGAATGGGGGGAGGAAGGAAGCTAGGCAAGGAGGAGCCAAGACCACCTCTGTTTCCAGTGGCTGCCTTAGTGGGCAGAGCTGAGGCCTCTCTGGGCCCAGAGACCTTGCATGTACCTGGTGGGGATGGGAGTGCTCTTCTGGCTCCACTTCACCCCTCTATTCCCATGGACCTGTCACCCTGCACCTCCACGCACCTCCCCCTTTCTCGAAGGAGGCCTTTGTCGTTCTCAGTCCCTCCTTCTCAGAGGTGCTGGGGGAGTCCTGATGAATCAGGCCTGTTTCCCAGGGACCACATCATTCCTTAGCCCCTCACCCCACCCAAGAGCTCCAGGAATCGGGCAGCTTGGCTAGGAGGGTCTTTCCTCCAACTGACACTGCTAAGAGCCCTCCATCAGGCTGCACAAGCCCTCGACTTGAGGTGAGGAGCTGGGAGGGGACGGGAAAGAGAGTCAGGACAGAGGGTCAGGACAGGAGGGCTGGGGCAGGGAGAAGTGGCTGTGCAGCCAGAGGGCCCACCAGGAGGCAAGCTCCTGTGTGGGCCCACTGCAGGCCGCCCTCCCCCAGCCCTGCAGGGGCCCCCACCTGAGGCCCCGTATTCCAGGCTCCTGCCCCAGGAGGCAGGGAAAAGGAGGGCTCTCGGTAAATCTCTGTGACCTGCTGTCCACCGCACCCCGGCACAGAGCAGGAGGACACATGTCCTCCTCTCCCACATGTGACCCTGGGTCTGGCTTCCCTGTCACCCACACTGGGCCATATAAACAGCTCCCCACGAAGAATCCAGGAAGGAAAACTGATAGATTTCTTACTTAAAGAACCAATTCTGCCCTGGCTGGCGTAGCTCAGTGGATTGAGCGCGGGCTGGGAACCAAAGTGTCCCAGATTCGAATCCCAGCCAGGGTACATTCCTGGGTTGCAGGCCATAACCCCCAGCAACCACACATTGATGTTTCTCTCTCTCTCTCTCTCTATCTCCCTCCCTTCCCTCTCTAAAAATAAATAAATAAAATATTAAAAAAAAGAGAAATCTTAAAAAAAAAGAACCAATTCTTATGTATGATAAAATATGCTATATACTATGTTTTGAAAAGGGACAGTGTAGAAAAATAGCACATGTTCTACAAAGATTAATATCCAGAATGTATAAAGAGCTTGTAACATCTATGAGAAAGGACAACAAGTCAATGGGAGAAACAGACAAGGATAAAAACTACAAAATCCAAGGAAACGGCATGGGGAAATTCATCTACAGAAGACAGGACCGATGTTATCAGTCTCTGGGAAAATGCAAAGGGAAGCAACGGGAGGGATCATTTTCACCCATTAAATTAATAAAAACTTGAAGGAGTGGTCATCTCCAGTGGCAATAATGTTGTGAGAAAATTGGCAGTCTCAAAAGCTGTTGGTGGGAATACAAATTAGTGTATTCTTTTAAGGAATCAGTTCGTTCAGATTTGTCAAAATATGAAATGTGTGCCCCTTCCTGCAAACAATTCGATCACTTGTGTGTGAGAGGATACGTGCACAAAGAAGTATATCAGAATCACTTGTTGCAACACTTCGCGTAACAGTGAAACTTAGGGATACAGTTCTACGAAGCTGGTCATGTGTAAGAAGGGAACTGCGGTCCTGCCTTGGAGGTATTGGGGTTCAATTCCAGACCTCCACAACAAAGCACGTATTGCAATGAAGAAAGTCATACGAATTTTTTGGTTTCCCAGTGCACATAAAAGTTATGTTTATACTATACTGTAGTCTATTAAGTTCATAATAGCTTTATGTCTAAAAAACAGTGTACATATTTTAATTAAGCCCTGACTGGTATGGCTCAGTTGGTTGGGCATCATCCTGCAAAGCAAAATGTCACTGGTTCAATTCCCGGTCAGGGCACATGTCAGTTGCATATTTGGTCCCCAGTACAGGCACATGCTGGTGGCTGTTTCTCACGTTGATGTTTCTCTCCCTCTCTTTCTCCCTCCTTTCCTCTCTCTCTCTCTAAAAATAAATAAAACAAAATCTTTTTTTAAAAATGTACCTACCTTAATTAAAAAATACTTAGTTGCTAAAACATATTAACTACAACCTTGAGTTTGTTGAAAAAATGGTGCTGATAGACTTGCCAAAGCTGAGTTTCCACAAAACTTCAATCTGTACAAAACACAATATCTGCAAAGCACAATAATGTGAGGCATGCCTTTAACGGAGTGATGCTTACCTCTAGTGGAAGGTATTATGCAGCAGACTGGAAAGAATGGGCCGAGCGGTGCGTGCTGACATGTATAGATCAGACAGTCAAACGTATTTAGTTCCAAATCATCAAGCTGCCGAGTGACACATATTGTAGAACTTCCTTAATGTAAGTTAAAACAGAGATAAAGCTATATCCATAGAAACTGTGTGTGTGTGTGTGTGTGTGTGCGCGCACGCGAGTGCCTGTGAGCGGGGAAAAGCATGTGCAGGGATCACCTGGAAATGCTAGGGATGTGTGACATGGGTGTGAAGGGGACTTTCGCATTTTATTCTGTATTATTTTAATATTTTTATAGTAAATGTATTTGAGCAAAATAAGATGGGAATTTTTGACTGTTGAAGTGAGTGGACAATGAGGAAGTCAGAGGCCAGAGCAACCTGGTTCCTTCCCTCCACACCCCCCCCAACCGGCTCCACCCCACTCCAGCCCCAACCCCTGGGGGACAACAGTGGAGGGGCGCGTGTGTGTGTGTGTGTGTGTGTGTGTGTGTGTGTGTCCTCCTGACCAAATCTACTGGTGACAGGAAGTTTCAGTGTCCTCTCTGGAGGCTCATCTTCCATGTGGTGTATTTTTGTTGGCTTCCTTTAATTACACTTTCATTCTGTCCCCTCCATCATCCAGCAAGCTCAACACCCCCAACTGCAGGCCCCCTGTGTCCCAGCCCCTAAATTCTAGTTTATCATACAACTCAGCAAGAGGCTTACTTTATGTTCATGTAAAAATCCAGACAAAAATGGTGATAGTGCCTTTATTCATAATTGTCATAAACTGAAAACAACCCCAAGGTCCTTCAGCTGGAGAACGGGTAAACAAGCTGTGGTATATCCATACAATGGAGTGCGTACTACTCAGCGATAGGGAGAACAGACCACTGATACCCATAACAACTGATAAATCGCAAATGCATTATGAAAGAAGCCAGATTCAAAAGACTGATCATACTTCAGTTAAAAAAGAAAAGAAAAACTCCGCACACTGTGTGATCCCATATCTACGACATCCTGGAATAGGCTGAACTATTGGGGCAGAAACCACTCACTGAGGGAACTGGGGGCAGAGGGTGGTGAAAAGACTGTTCTACGCCTGGATTGTGTTGCGGGTTTCATGACTTAATTTGTCAGAACTCATAGAACTGTACATTACATATGTAAGCCACACAAAAACAAAAACAGAGACCTCCGTCCCCTACCAGAGAGCCTGCTCACAGCAGCCTCTCCGCTCACTGCCTGACCTGGACCTGGAGGTCACCGAAGCCAGAGCTTTCCCTGCTCCCTTCTTCTACCTTCATTCCTCCTGTCTTGCTCCTCCCCCTCTCCTCCTCTTCTTTAGCAGCGGGAAGCTTCCTTCAAACAGAACCTTACCTGTGCCCTGGGCACACACCTGTTGGAGAGGCGTAGCTCCTGATGAGGAAGGGTAAGGGCCCTCTCTCAACAGACCTTTACGCCCATGTCTTCATTCTGTAGAGGAAGACACGGAGGCCCCCAAAAGGAAAGGGGTCCCCCTATTGCAGCAATGCTCTGTAATCCCAACCTTCCTACCAGGTGGCTTTCAGAGACCACTCAGGGCCGGCCGAGAGGGGCCTTCGGGGTGAATGGCTAACCAACCCAGAGCCTTCTAACTCTGCAGTCTGGTCATGGTGTAACAAAGCCGAAACAGATTTGGGGGGAAATGTGTCCTTTCCAACTACCTGCCCACTCTGCCCCTCTCCCTGGTTTCACATCAGAAGAGGTACACAGGGTCACGTGTCCAGCAGGAGGGACCAGTGTTGCAGCTGGACCAGGAGCTTTGCCAGATGTAGACACAGCTCTAATGAGGGTTGTCTCTCAGCCTCTCCGCAGGCAACTGTCTCTCAAAGACTCCAGGGATCCAGGAATTTCATTTCTGGAATGTATCTCACAGATAGGCACATGTGAAAGGCATGTAAGCTGTTTATCACAACACCATTTGCAATCCAAAAAATTGAAAACCACCTAAAAGTCCAAGCTATTGTACATCCATTCAATGGAATTTCTGCATTTTTACAGGATAAGGAAGATCTCTGTGGACTGATATGGACTGATCTCCAACATATTCTGTATTTTGTTAGGTACAAAATTCTGTCTATAATATGTTAGCTTTTGTGTTTTAACAATGTGGAAATTAAGGATACACACTCATATACATTAAAAAAAAAAAAAACCCTGGCTGGTGTAGCTCAGTGGATTGAGCTCGGGGCTGTGAACCAAAGGGTCACAACTTTGATTCCCGGTCAGGGCACATGCCTGGGTTGTAGGCCAGGTCCCTAGTTGGGGACACATGAGAGGCAACCACACACTGATGTTTCTCTCCCTCTCTTGCTCCTTCCTTTCCCCTCTCTCTAAAAATAAATAAACAAACAAACAAACAAATAAGTAAATAAATAAATAAAATCTTAAAAAAAAACAAATAATAAACCACTAACAATTGTTAGGGTAATAGGTGACATGGGCTGTGAAAGAATTCACGAAG